GAATTTTGGTTGGGATCGTCTCGAATCAGTGTGGAAAGAGAAAGATTCTGTACTAGAAATGGATTTGGGGGAGCTTTTGGCAATCTTCGGGCCCGGCATCGCCGGCGCCGTTTTCGGAACCGGCTGGTGGTTTTGGGTCGACGCCGTTGTCTGCAGCTCAGTCAAAATCCCGTTCGTGCACTATCTTCCTGGTATTTCTATGGGGATTCCTCAAAATTTTAGGTTTTCTTTTCTGTTGTTTGATAATCTTTCATGTTTTCGAATTTGATTTAGAAAAAAAAAAAAAATGTTTTGGCAGGAATATTTGCGTCTTTAGCTGCTTTGATGTTCAATTGTGTGAGGAAAGATGATATCGATTACTCGCCCTATGAAGAAGGGGAATGGAGGTTAGTATACAACATAATCTTGTTTTTGTTTTCAAGCTTTTTTTTATTTTGATCTAAAGCAGTAGATTTACTAAAGAAGATATGAAACACTTGTGGGCACTAGTTTGATCAATGTGAAACATTGAGCTTGAGGAGTTGATATTTGTTTAAATTTGGTTTTCTTGATGAAGTTTGTCAAGCTTGTATTCGTTTATATCATTCTGTTGTATTCTTTGTTAGCCATTTGTCAGCAAGAACATGTTTATATCATCTCATATCATGAGCTGGTGAATGACATGTGCATTCAGGAATATAGTTGCTTTGTTTAGGTTTTTCCTTATTCATTAAGATATTTGTTCGTGTGGTGCGTATGCCATCATTTGAGTTGATAATATGGTAATGCTGAAAAATATCAAGTTAATGCAATAACGAAAAGCTTGAGGTCTTTGTTTTCTCAAAGAATGTGCAGTTCTTAGAATGTGAAAAGGTGTCGATTTATATGGATGTAATCGGGCATTTTTTCTCCAATTGTTGTTCCCTTATTCAGTTAATCTTTTCCGGATTTCAAGTTCCCATATAAGTTTTTTCTTTAGTTGATGGATGTAACTGGGCATTTTTGTCCAATTGCTGTTGCCTTAATCAGTTAATCTTTTTTCCGAATTTCAAGTTCCCATATAAGTTTTTTCTTTAGCTATTTATAGTTTCTGAATTATGCAGGTTGAAACTTTGGCTTTTCATTGCATATGTTGTGTCGTTTGTCTCGTTGGCTGCTTCAGTTGGCCTATTGATACAAGACGCCCTTGTGGAATCTGGGCCTTCGGCTTGGACAGGAATTGCAGGTGTTCTTCAATGCGTATTTGTTCTAATCAGGTAAAACTCATTGCCCTTCATCGTTCTAAGTTTTATACAGAATTTACCATCTGCCTGTTGAAGAACAATTTTACCTTCTAAACAATCATGCAAATCTTTGTAACAGAAAATTTCCAAAGCAAATCCAATAGCATTTCGACTATGTTTAGTGAACCTAGCTGATAATAAGCTAGCTTATAGCTTTTAAGTGAATTTCGAGCTTATAGCTGATAGCTCATGACTTATGGGTGAAAAGCTAACTTATGTGGTAAGGTGTTTGATAAAATTAGCTTGATAAGCTATAGCTAAGATAAAAATTTCAATAAGCTTATTTGAAAAGCTAGTCAAGGAAGCTTATGAGATAAACTCGAGCTTTTTAAAAAAGCCCGTCCTATCAAACCAAGTTTTTTTAATAGAAGAAGCTTATAAGTTAATCAAATGAGCTATAATTTATATGCTTACCAAACTCAAATTTCATAAATAAAAACCTCTCCTTGAGGTTGCACATAAATAAAAACCAAGGGCATATTTCTGAATTTGAAAGATGGTTGAGATTTCCCCTTTAAATAGTTTTTCATTTTTTCTTTCTTTCCTTTTAAATAACAATTGGCTTAATCTCTTCCTACAAATTGTTCTTTTGCAGTGGCCTGATTTATTGGATTTCCCATTCAGAATAACCTATCTTTGTCACTCATGCAAATAGTATCTTGTTTGGATATTGTGATTATTCTGCTCGACCAGGCATGTATCGGTGTGGTTTTTTTTTTGTTTTTTTGTTTTTTTTTCGCCTGAACTTCGTTTGCCCACTTGCCCTCTCCCTGTACTCTCTCCTTCATGTGACAAGTTGAAAGAAAAAAAAAAGTTCAAGTATGTGTGCATTTATTTTGCGATTTTGAATGGAAAACTTGAAGCATTTGAAATTCAAAAGAGTAGAGTCAGAAATGAAGATATGTCTAGTTGGATCAATTAATAAGTATATGACTGATTCAAACAAGAAAAGCCATAATTCAGGATTCAGGTAGTAAGATTTGAAATAACCTGTAATACAAATCACCATACCATAAATGGCATAATTAAAATGTTAAAATAAAAAAAGCAGTAAGTTTACATGACTGATGTACAAGATTTCATTCTGAGGCTAACTATTTGTTACAAATTAATAAATATAATTATGCCACAATTAAACCTAGCTTGTTACAAAATTAGCGGTCTCTTTTGAATTTTTTGAATTGAAATGTCGTACTAAAAAATAACATAAACAAACGTATAAACATTTCATAATATAAGTACACATTTTTGTTTAAAAAAAAAAGAATGAATTGATGTACCCAATTGTTAGTTGCCTTATACAAGAATACTAGTACAATATCCTGTACAAAACTGGTTTTGAGTTAAAAAAATATATGATAAAAGTTATTTATTTCTAATATCAAACCTAACTCCAGAGTAAAAGTAATATAAAAACATCATGAAGTATAGATTTTTGCCATGTCAGTATTCCAAACGTGAGAATCAACCACTTAGACTCCACACGTTTTGAATTAATATATAGAGAGGGATGTGATTGAACAGAGTAGGTGAATCCATATACAATGCTCATTATCAACATCATCATGAAAAGTAGAATAAACAAGAACAACCAAAAACAAATTGAGGAAAAAATAAAAATTAAAGAACAAAACAAATGCAACTTTCCATTTCCTTTCTTGCTATAAACTGAACACTCAACAATTTTCTTTTCCATTTCAACCTCTAGAAAGAAAAAAAGGGGAAAATATGCCAAAAAAAAATAAAAAAAAAATGCAATACCACCAACTACTGTCATTGCAACCCTAATTCATGTTTCCTTATACTGTCTTTTCAGACAAAAAAGACCAGTTGACAAATACCATCCTCAATTTATTAATACCATCCTCAATTCTTGCGCTGTGTACAATCCAAATTAAAACCATATCACCCTCTGGAGCCCCTACCGAAAGAAACGAGTGAAAAAAAGATATAATCTGCGCTAACAAAATTGAATTTTTCCTGGATTACTTTATGGAAATCATCAAGCTTCAGGCTCAGATTCAGAGGAGCTCGAGTCGGAAATAGAAACTCCTGACATGGCATTTGGTGTCGATAGTGTTGAACATTTGGATTGGGAACTTCGACCCGGTTCTGAAGAGGGCCTTCTATTCATGTACTGTGCGGAAAAAAAAAAACAAAAAAAAAATTCATAAACACAAAAACCAAATAAAAATAAAAAGATATTACACCTATGGAAGCCAAATAAGTCATTATGCCGTTCAAAATGATGCATACAATCAATCTTCATTTTCATAGCTAATTTTATTCGTTTGTGTCAACATTCGGTTTTAAAATCCGGGCCTAATATGTCACCTGAAAAAGGATAAAATGCCACACCAATTGAAATAAGTAAAATTGATCAAATAACTCTACCCAACTGACCTCTCGATAAAAAGCATTAATCTCTTCCTCTGTCAAGCCTTCGTCTTCTCCACCATTTTCGTCCCAACCAAGCGAACGAAGAAAAGCAGCCTCTTCTTCATCCGGGTATATTGATCCATTACCGGACAAACTGCAATCTCCAAGATCAAGAAAACCTTTTTTCTCGCAATCATTCTGTAAAGCACAAGAACTTGTTGTGTCTCCATGGCCTTCTTTACATTTTTCCATGCATGTCTCTTTAGTGGAGGGTATAACACCAGAATTTGAATCTGCGCAACTGGCTGAGCCACTGGATGATGAAGAAGCTTTTCTCCTCATGAGTTTAAAAAACTCACTTCTGCTTTGGGCCAGAGATTGGGCCGCCGATTTTTTGTCCGCTGTGGATCTCGAACTTATTGTCAAGGCAGCAGCATTGTTTTCAAGAGCAGACGCTACAGAATTGCTTATTAGACCAGTCGTTGACTTTGGAGGAGCCATAGCAATTTGGCTATGATTAATTACTCTGCCATTTGAACCATTACTTAATCCATCCTTTCCTCCCAAAGGGGCAATCTCACGTCCTGGTTTTAGAACAATAAATTTGCCGGCATGAGATGTGCTAGCAGAATCTGGTTTGATTTGTCCAGTATTAGACTGATTAGGAAGCTGAGACGAATGAGGTAGTGGATGGACAACCCTGGAAAGAAGTGTTCCATTATTTCTCCCAGAAGACTTTGGGTGTTTGGATTTATCAATGGAGCTAGGAACCTGAAAAAGGAAATTATATGCTTTAATTTCATTCCACTGATCAAAAAACAACAAAATATCACGATCAACAAACCGAATGTACTGCACACACGCTTGAAATAAAGGTGGCACTTTAAACTCAGAGTTTGCAGCATCACCAATCGCCACACCAACTTTTCAGTCACGTTCTCCAGTTTGATTGGTGCTTCACAGATTAGCCACGTAGTAAACTACAGAACTAGTACTAGAAACATTTTTAGCTTCTTCAAAACTTAAGATATCTCGTCAGATGTCACTTGCCGTACCCGTACGTCAAGAACTATAAAAAGATAATGCATCAAATCGACTTAAATAAAAACGAGACACTCCAAATTATATTTATTGGGTAGATGTAGCATACAAAGCACTATGGTAGAAAAATCACTAAAACTGAAGTAGATATATCTCCAGAATGAATCTATAAAAGTTTGAAAAACTCCACTTACCAAGGGTTTAGGCATTGAGGGCTTCACAGGAATTAACTGTCTGGACTGCTTAATAGCTAACTCCTCAAGCCTCTGGGTCTTATCATGTTGCTGCAACATTCATTAAAGAGGAGAGTGAAAAATCAAACCAACGCTCAAGGCTGAAAAATAAATGCACAAACGCACACACACAATATGCACGAGTAAAAAGTGGAACAATAGAAAAGAGGGTCTGTAAATATTTACCAGGGGATTAGCATGAACACGTGCAGTGGGTTGTGATAATGCCTCAGCCATGTTGAGACCAGCTGCATTAGAACCTGCAGCTAAAGAACTATAAACTGTAACAGCACCCTGTGTATGAGAAGAATGTCCCGTGCCATTACTTGCAAGAACAACAGGAGGCACCTCAACCAAAGCAGAAGTCCAATTCTCACTATTAAGAAACCCTGAGTGACCCGATGGCAGTCTTTGAACTGCAGAACTCAAACCAGGGGATAAGACTCTCTTAACCCCACTCACATTTTGCTTCTCCTCGGTCACTAAAGTTGGAAAATCCTTATCAAATACTGCCTTCTGATTCGTACTATGATTACTTCCCACAGAAAGCACGCCATTGCTGCTAACCCTTGAGTCGTCCGCTCTTCGAGGCAATGGCTCAACGGGCTTTCTCGAAACCAATGACTCAGAACGGCTCAAGCCACCTTTTTCAACTCTACTGGTTAATATACTTGGCAGGGGATCAGAAGAGTCATGATCCCATAAGTCTCTGGAAAGAGACTTTTCTTTCTCCCTATCGCGGTTTTTGTCCCACCGGTTCCTGGAAAAGCTACTGTACGGATGCTTCGTAGAGCCATTACTACTTGCACTATGCCTTGAACTAGATGACGAGCTTCTGTCCAGATAACGTGGGCTATCTTTCTTGCTATTGCTCCTAAGATATCTACTCTGCGTGGAGCGTGCAGAAGAAGAGACATCTAACAGCAGAAAGGAAAAGAAAGTTTCAAACAATGAAGACCCTGAAAAAAGAAATGTCACGGGTAACAAGTAAAAATCATCTACGATACCTTTGTGGTGGGCTGAGGTGCTGCCTCCAGCAGCATTCCCTGAACATCTCAACCATTCTGGAGCCAATGCAGGTTCAGTTCTTTCCATCAGCACCAGACATGATCCAAATAGTCTTGGACCATATATATAATTATAATTTAAAAGCCAAATTCGATTTTACCCCAGTGTTTTTCCTTCTATTTCCTGCTTTCTACACAAAATTACCAAGCCCAGTGGATGTACTGTTCCCTTACTGATTAAACTAATGAATACGCAAGAAAGAACAGAAAGAAATAGAATAAGACAGCCTGAAACTAAAGAACCCAATAAACTCAAATTCGCACACGCTCGATTATGCGAACAGTTACACTCAAAACCCAACTTCTCTACGCAAATACAAACCAATTCAAGAGCACGCAGATACCCAAACACACCAAACAGCAATACCCAGTTAACCAAAAACCCTTTTCTCACTGCAATCGAAAGGAACCCAACTCAAAAACACAACACGAGTACGAATTTTTCAACCTTTTCAAGTCTATAGTTTGTGCAATCGGAGGAAAATTGTATTGAATTTCAGCTCAGCGAGGCACGAGCGCGTTCGAACAAACAGGCGCAATCAAGAATTCTGGAGCTCAGGGCTTAAAGACACAACAATGCAGGCGGCGAAGTTTGAGAGAGATTTATGGATGAAAGAAACTGCAAACGTGAATGATGGCAGGGAGAGTATAATTAGGGCATCTACAGAGTGAGGCTACGAAGGCGCTGTTTGCCTGATTCTTAATTCGTACAAACCAAATACGCGTGTTTTGCGGTGTGCTTACGTTGTGTTAAAAACGTTTGTGAAACTGAAAACGTTTCTCCTCAGTCATCACAATAATAAATATATAAAAAAATCTATGTAGTCATTCAATTGGTTTATTATGGAGTCATCCACCAGTTAATTTTTTACACCTATAAAAATTGTATTTATTATAGGACACGTGTCAATACACTATTGGTGAATAACTGTGGATGACTCTGTAAGTCGAGCCATCCGATGATTCCACAACATAAATCTAATATTTAATTGGGGATCATAGTATTTTTTGACTGATATCTACTCAATTTTTTTTCCGCCTTTGACAAACTCAGTATTTGACTGTTTTTTTTTTATTTATTTATTTATTGTGGGAATTGTGTTTCTTTAAACCTAGCTTATTCAATTGAATAATCAACCATAGGATAATATACGGTGGTGCTTGAAAAATAAATTTTAATTAAAAGATACACACAAAAAAAGAATTTATATTATTATCATGAAATCTTAAAAATAAACGTGACAAGAATAATAAATAACAAAAAAATAATAAATAACAATGAATGATAATTATTTAAAGTAACATACGTTTTGTACTCTCATTTAATAATGTATGAAATATATAAATTGCTCATTCTATATTGTGTCACGAATAATTTTTAAGGTTATAGTTTAGTAGTAGATTGTCTAACAGTGACCTTATTATAGGAACAATATAAGCTTTCGTACTTCTTAAGAGTTTGCACATGTTTTTCATATAGCTCACCAAGTCGGGTTGTGCAAAATAGTCTACCTTATTATAGGAACAATATAAGTTTTCGTACTTCTTAAGAGTTTGCACATGTTTTTCATATAGCTCACGCAAGTCGAGTTGTGCAAAATAAATAAATGATACTTAGTTCTGATATCTAAATGTAGTAGTTCAATTATTAAAGCCTAACAATAGTTTATTTAAATACAATTGTACCAAAAAAAATACAAGTAGACATTTTTTAACTCTCTAACAATATTATATAGACGTAAAACTCTCTCTAAAACTCTTTAAGGAAAATAAATAAATAAATAATAGATATCATAGCTTCTACCCTTCATCCTCTTATTCTTTGATGGGCCACTTGGCCATGCACGACATCTTGATGAGCTAGCGTTGGGATCCTTCTTGAAGGTCGGTCGTGATTGGTATCCTATGACACGATTGTCTGATTGTCCGTTGATGTATTTAAGGGGCATATCTGAATTGTTTCTACATATGTGTCTAGCCTTTCGAGTGATTTTAGATTTTTTAGGTTTGTTGGATTCGGATTTTATGTTCTTTCCTCGTCTGAGGCTTGTTGACCTCGTTGTGTGTTGGTGGTTGCTTTTTGAGCAACCGATGGTAGCCATTTTTAGAAGAGAGAATGTTGTATTGTATTTTCATGTGTTTTTATGTATGTGTTTGTGTTTGTTTTTTGTGGTCTGTCATTCTCCAATGTTGGAGTTTATCTTCACTTGTGAATATGTTTTAATAGTTTTTAGTTTGTACTATATGTTATGTCAGTTTTCTAGTATCTTATGGTAAACTATCTTTTAGATTCAACTCAGTAGCTGATGGAATTTACTGTTTCTAATTGTTTTATTTTGTATATATTTTTGTTATTAATATGGAGTATCGTCTTGAAAAAAAATAAAAAATAGTACATACAATTCATAAACATACATTAACAAACTATTATCGTCGCTTAACGAACAACTAGGACGCTCCGCTCACCTTGCCTAGCACTTGTCTGGACTGGAACCGTTTGAGAGGTCTGTGCTTGAATGCATCAAGAAGCTTTTTGTTCTAGACTAACCATAATAGTTGAAGTCTTCTTTATAGGTATATTACTGATGCTGGAGGTGTTGAGTCAATTAAATAAAGGCAGCAGCCTTTCTTTGAAGCAGCCAAGGAAGAAAAAAAGTGGAAGCAACCTTGCAGCACCATCAACTCACGTTTGTTGAAAATATGGTACATCTCCCCCTCTATAAATTGAGGGGGATTCTGATGAGAAAAATACCACAACAAATACAAAACATCTTAAAGAGAGGAAAAGAAGAGAGGTGTGAGAAAGAAGCAAAATATTTAGCTTCTGTGTGTATTTGAGTTGTGAGTTGTGAGTGAGTTCGAGAGTGTTTTGTAAACACGAGTATTTCTTTTTCCCCTAATAAAATATATGCAGTAGTCCGGAGACGTAGGCATTATTGGTCGAACTCCGTTATCAATTTGGTGTGTCCAATTTTTCGTTTTTATTTCACTTTTATAGATCAGACTTCATGGAAATTTCAGCGTATTTTTCCCAACAACTGGTATCAGAGCCAGATTGTTAATTTTGTATTTTTTTTTGTGTCGATTACTATTCCGTGAATAGTGAAAAACGGGAATAGTGCCAAATTTTTCGGCGCTACAAATTTATCTACCGACGTGTTCTGAAACACGGTAGTTCACAAAAATTACAGAAACGATCCGGCAGAGAAGTCAGATCAGAGAAGAAGTGATGGCTGCAGACGAAGGAAAAATGAAAATCGAAAAGTTCGATGGTGCGGACTTTGGTTTCTGGAAGATGCAGATCGAGGATTATCTGTACCAGAAGAATATGTATCAACCACTCACTAGAAAGAAGCCAGAGGACATGAAGGCATAAGAATGGAGTCTCCTTGACAGACAAGCTCTTGGAGCCATTCGGCTGACGTTATCCCGCAATGTTGCTTTTAACATTGCAAAAGAAAAGACGACAGCAGGCCTCATGAAGGCTCTTTCCAACATGTACGAGAAACCATCAGCCTCAAATAAAGTTCATTTGATGAGGCGATTGTTCAACCTACGGATGACCGAAGGTGCTCCGGTGGCACAACATCTCAATGAGTTCAACACAGTTACAACCCAGTTGAGTTCAGTTGAGATCGAGTTCGATGATGAAGTACAGGCTTTAATACTTTTGTCTTCTCTACCAGAAAGCTGGAATGCTACAGTCACAACTATGAGTAGCTCATCGGGAAGCAATAAGTTGAGATTTGATGATGTCCAAAATTTGGTTCTCAGTGAAGAGATCCGGCGGAAGGAGTCGAGTGAACCATCAACCTTTTCTGTATTGCATACATAGTCGAGAGGAAGAAGTTCAACCAAAGAAAGGAGACATATCAAATCAAAGGGAAGAAGATCCAGGTCCAGAAATCATCGTGGTTCCCAAAACTCGAAGTCGATCGAGTGCTGGAATTGTGGGAAGACCGGGCACTACAGAAATCAGTGCAAGAGTGCACCGAAGGGTCAGGAGACAAAAGAAGAGGCAAATATTGCTTCAACCTCAAGAGGAGACACGCTGATATGTTCTTTGGAGAACAGAGAAGAGTCTTGGGTGTTAGACTCTGGAGCATCCTTTCATGCTACCTCACAGAAGGAACTATTCGAGAATTATGTTCCTGAAAATCTTGGTAAAGTTTACCTTGGTAATGAGCAATCATGTGAGGTTGTCGGGAAAGGTGCAGTAAAAATCAAGTTGAACGGGTCTGTTTGGGAATTGAAAAATGTCAGACATATTCCCGACCTGACGAAGAATTTAATCTCCGTAGGCCAGCTAGCCAGTGAAGGCTACACGACAATCTTCCATGACGATGATTGGAAGATTTCAAAGGGTGCGATGACAATTGCTCGAGGCAAAAAGAGTGGTACTCTTTACAAGACCAAAGGAGCGTGTCATTTGATTGCAGTTGCAACAAATTAAAGTCCCAATCTATGGCACCAAAGACTTGGGCATATGAGTGAAAAAGAGATGAAGATCATTCACTCAAAATGAAAATTACTAGGCCTCCAGTCAATAGAAATTGACATGTGTGAAGGTTGTATACTTGGAAAGCATAAGAGAGTCAGCTTTCAGACAAGTAGAAGAACCCCAAAGAAGGAGAAGCTTGAGCTCGTCCACTCCGATGTTTGGGGTCCAACGACTGTCCCATCCGTTGGTGGGAAGCAGTACTTCGTGACTTTTATCGATGATCACTCCAGAAAGGTATGGGTTTACTTTCTGAAACACAAGTCAGAAGTATTTGAAGCTTTCAAGATTTGGAAAGCTATGGTGGAGAATGAGACAGGCTTGAAGATCAAGAAGCTCAGATCCGACAATGGTGGTGAATACGTAACCACCAGATTCAATAAGTTTTGCTATGAGCACGGGATCAGAATGGAGAGAACCGTGCCTAGTACGCCTCAACACAATGGTGTAGCTGAGCGTATGAATCGAACGTTGACTGAAAGAGCCAGAAGCTTGCGTGTGCAGTCAGGCCTACCAAAGCAGTTCTGGGCAGAAGCAGTCAACACAGCAACTTACTTGATCAACCGAAGTCCATCGGTACCACTGGATCACAAGTTACCAGAAGAGGTATGGAGCGGAAAAGAAGTAAAACTTTCACATCTTAGAGTTTTTGGGTGTGTAGCATATGTGCACATCAGTGATCAAGGTAGAAACAAACTTGATCCAAAATCAAAAAAATGTACTTTTCTTGGTTATGGTGAAGATGAGTTTGGCTACCGCTTATGGGATGATGAAACCAAAAAGATGATCCGCAGCAGAGTTGTCATCTTTAATGAAAGAGTGATGTACAAGGACCGGCATAACACAAGTGCCAGCAACTCAGAAGCGAGTGGGCCAATTTATGCAGAGGTGGAAGATATCACAGACATTCCTGTAATAAAGAATCCTCGGTCAGAGGAATCAAATGAAGAAAGCGGTGAGCAATCAGAACCTTCTACTCCAACTCCTGTATTGAGAAGGTCCTCTCGGCCCTATGTACCTAACAGGAGATACATGGACTACATGTTGTTGACCGATGGAGGAGAACCTGAAGATTATAAGGAGGCTTGTCAAACCCCAGATGCTAGCAAGTGGGAGCTTGCCATGAAGGACGAGATGAAGTCCTTGATCTCAAATCAGACATGGGAACTAGTAAAGTTACCCATGGGAAAGAAAGCACTTCACAACAAATGGGTGTATCAGGTGAAGGAAGACCATGATGGTTCCAGGAGATACAAAGCCCGACTAGTTGTCAAAGGATTTCAGCAGAAAGAAAGTGTTGACTATACTGAAATCTTTGCTCCAGTTGTAAAGCTCAATACTATCAGGACTGTGTTAAGTATTGTGGCTAGTGAAGAGCTCTACCTAGAGCAGTTAGACGTGAAGACTGCATTTCTTCACGGAGACCTAGACGAGGAGATCTATATGCACCAGCCTGAAGGTTTTTCAGACGGAAAGAAGGATATGGTGTGCAGATTGAAGAAGAGCTTGTACGGCCTGAAACAAGCTCCAAGACAGTGGTATAGGAAACAAGGAAGGATTCCAGAAGTGCAATGCTGATCACTGTTGTTTCTTCAAGAAATATGAGTCCAACTATATCATATTGCTACTTTATGTCGATGACATGTTAGTAGCGGGATCAGATATGAAAGACATCAGAAATTTAAAGATGCAGTTGTCAAATGAATTTGACATGAAGGACTTAGGCCCAGCAAAGAAGATTCTTGGAATGCAGATCACGAGAGATAAGCAAAAGGGAGTTTTGCAGTTATCTCAGGCAGAGTACATCAACCGTGTTTTGCAGAGATTTAACATGGACAAAACCAAACCAGTGAGTACACCTTTGGCCAGCCATTTTCATCTATCCAAGGATCAGTCTCCTCAAACAAAGGAAGAAGAAGAGTTTATGGCTAAGATTCCTTATGCTTCAGCCATTGGAAGTTTGATGTACGCGATGGTCTGTACGAGGCCAGACATTGGCCATGCAGTGGGAGTTGTGAGCAGGTTTATGTCAAAACCAGGAAAAGCTCATTGGGAAGCAGTCAAATGGATCTTGAGATATCTACGAGGCACAACAGAAAAGTGTCTGTATTTTAGAAATGGAGATCTAAAGTTATAGGGCTACGTAGATGCAGACTTCGGAGGTGAAGTTGATCACCGGAGAAGCACCACCGGTTATGTTTTCACTGTCGGGGCTACAGCTGTTAGTTGGATGTCGCGGATACAAAAGATTGTTGCTCTATCCACTACAGAGGCTGAGTATGTAGCAGTGACAGAAGCCAGTAAAGAATTAATATGGCTTCAAGGATTGTTAGCAGAGTTGGGTTTCACTCAGAAGGAGAGTGTCTTGCACAGTGACAGTCAGAGTGCAATACATCTGGCAAAGAACTTAGTGTTTCACTCCAGAACTAAGCACATTGACATACGATATCATTTCATCAGATCTCTTCTTGAGGATGAAGTGTTGACTTTGAACAAGATTGTAGGAAGCAAGAACCCGGCAGATATGCTAACGAAGGTGGTGACCATTGACAAACTGAAGTTGTGTTCAACTTCAGTTGGCTTGCTAGATTAACAGACCGGATAAGACTACTGCAGTAATTGAGGTGTGAGGACAGATTGAAATCAGTCCTCAAGTGGGAGATTGTTGAGTCAATTAAATAAAGGCAGCAGCCTTTCTTTGAAGCAGCCAAGGAATAAAAAAAAGTGGAAGCAACCTTGCAGCACCATCAGCTCACGTTTGTTGAAAATATGGTACATCTCCCCCTTTATAAATTGAGGGGGATTCTGATGAGAAAAATACCACAACAAATACAAAACATCTTAAAGAGAGGAAAAAAAGAGAGGTGTGAGAAAGAAGCAAAATATTTAGCTTCTGTGTGTATTTGAGTTGTGAATTGTGAGTGAGTTCGAGAGTATTTTGTAAACACGAGTATTTCTTTTTCCCCTAATAAAATATCTGCAGTAGTCCGGAGACGTAGGCATTATTGGCCGAACTCCGTTATCAATTTGGTGTGTCCAATTTTTCGTTTTTATTTCACTTTTATAGATCCGACTTCATGGAAATTTCAGCGTATTTTTCCCAACAGGAGGATCTACGTATGGAACTGAGACGCCCGCCGGATGATCTGAAGGCTGATTCGCCCGGTTTTAAAAACAATAAGAAAAGTTAGGAAAACAAGAGGAAAGAGATTCTAACTCCTCCTGGCCTAAGAGGTCCTAAGTCAATAAATATTGTCTAACAAATTTTTTGTCGTTGACTACCATTTTCTGATGCCCTACCACTTAGCTAGGCACCATCTCTATATGAGATTTTGTCCTGATATGTTGTTAACTAGGACCTTCTGGTACGACTTCACTAATGTCCAAGGAGTTAATGAGCGTCAAAGGGAAGGGAGTACAATTCATTTCAAGATTTTCGATAAACCAATAATGTTTGTCTTTATTCCCTAGAGAACTGATTCAAATTTGTTTATTACGAATCAATTTGTCTCGATGAAAGTTCAACCTCAAACTCTTATGTTTGAGGAACAAGTACTTGAGCTCCGCTCAATAAATTTACACTTAGCTCGAGCTCAACCTCTTAAGTACGAATATCAAATACCTGAACTCGACTTGACTCATTTACATTTACGTCTCTTAAGGTAGCTTTAGTATAAAAAAGAAAAATAAATCTGGTCAAATATTATTAAAGTTTTGTTTATGACAATTACGCAGGTGGAACAAATTAATTTTCAAACAGCAACAACCAAATAAAAAATAAAATAAAATAAAAATTTCTACAGATTTTGCCGTCATCTTCCTCATTTGGCTCCGCGTTTTCTTCTCTCTTTAACACGCACTTTTTCGTTTCTCTCTCTAAAAGTCCGGTCGCCTCCAAAAGTCACCATAACCCCACCGGTGAGATAAACTCCGGTCAAAATCTCGCTCAAAACCTCTATCTACTGATTGCATTGATGCATTTTGAGCACTGAGTAGCTCACAAATCCTCCTTTCTAATTCATGGATGTTGCTTCACGCCGTCAAAATGCGCCGCATACCGAAAGTATTCGGACATAGCTCGAACCGCAGCCGGGGCGGCGCCGAATCGTCCGCCGGCGCCAGCTCCAGCTCCAGCTCGAGCAGCCCAACCGCCAAGACTAAGCCGAAGCTCGACCGGCGCAACGCCAGGAAGGACATCAATTACGATTACTCTGCGCGTACGCGCTCCCTAGATTTGTACGACGGCAGCTTCCGGATGGAGGGAGTCGACGGCGAGATTGAGATAATCTGCAGAACCCTAGGGTTTTCGGGGATCGACGACTTATCCATAGACCCCGAGGAGTACGAGGCTATGAAGGTGAGATCTTCCTCTGCTCCTGTGGCTTTCAGTCAGGAAATCGAGCCTCACATGGATAGGAAAACGGAGGTCGATAGCGTTGTAGTTGATCTTGATAACCGTAATACCGAGGGAAATAGTTATGGTTTAACCAGTGGAATTTGTGTGGAAAGTGGTGGTTATGCCGATATGGCTACAAATACGTGTGATATTATTGGTACCGGATTTAGGGATAGTGTGATGGTAACTGATGTAGCTTCGAGCAACCATAACTCGAGCGTTAACTTGAATGAATCTCGTGTAAATGGTATCAAAGGTGTTCGGCCGCCAATTCTGGCACCGCCACCTCCAATATCTGTGCCTATGATTGATAAAGAGTGCTCGACTTGGGATATTTTCAGAGCATTTACGCCGGATAGTGGCACACAAGTTTCTAGATTTGGACTAGGATTTTGCTCGGATGAAGATGGGGAAGGCGTGGAAAAGAATGAGGATGAGGATCAAGTGGAGGATAGGAGGAGAAGGGGAGTTCTGAAGGAAGAGAATTGCGTTCCATCAGCCTCGTGTTCGTTCACGACGAGTTCGAATGACGATGATACTTCAAGTACAACGACTGAACCAATGTTGAGCATGTCACCCAATGGAAGGTTTAGGCGTGTTATTTCAGAGTGGCAGAAGGGCGAGCTCTTGGGTCGTGGATCATTTGGATCCGTGTATGAAGGAATTGCTGAGTAAGTTGTTCTTACTTTACTAATATATCAATGCTGATTTAGTGAAGTCCACGTGCATGTTGGCCTTGTGCCTTACACTTCTAAAATATTTTGGTGGTGGTTTTGTGGTTGGATAGGGTGAGTTATTGCTAGGTGAACAACGGACTTTGAATATCTAGACCATGCACAATTTTGAGTGTACAGTAATTTGCCAAAGATACATATGACTTGGTTGCTCAGTCGAGCACAATGATGTAGAATGAAATGCGGGTGTTGGTCTTTGTGATAAAAATTATACGATTTCTTATGCTGCAAGTTATACAGGAAAGATATAAGTCGTGTCACATTGATATAATGATGCTTAGGCCTAGGCTATCTTCAAAGGTTTTAACTTAATCTGGATGACAATTAACTCACAAAACTTCATCTGGATGACAATCAACTCGACAAAACTTCTTCTGGATGACAATCAACTCGTAGATAGATGTTTTTTTATATCATCTTTTAAACTTTAATATCTGTTTTGACGCAGTGACGGATTCTTCTTCGCGGTAAAGGAAGTATCTTTACTAGATCAGGAGGATGAAGGAAAGCAACGAATCATTCAACTTGAACAGGTCTAGCAGCACTATAACTTTGTTTTTGGAGTGTGCTAATTTATTGGTGTGGAATTCTTTCTTTCTTTTTTCCCTGCTCCGCTGCCTTTTGTGTTTAAATTATATTTCATCTTTTCTGCTCCAGGAAATCTCTCTTCTGAGTCAGTTTGAGCACGAGAACATTGTCCAGTATTACGGCACAAAGAAGGTACTGGTCTTTATTCTTTTGATTAGGTTTTGCTAT